AATCGTCCTAAACCTTAACAAAACGTCATCCTTGGGTCAGTGATTGAGGTAATAAACACACGTTTTAGCGCATTCTTTCATACATTTCAATCTGTTTTCTTGATAGGAGCATGAAACAAGCTCATTTAAAGAGAGACAAGTGAAATCAGGATAAATTAACAGAATTTAGCAGTAACGCATACACAGAATGGTTGTTCGTCTACTGTTTCCATTTCGAATAAGACTTGGGTTTTGTGATGGAAGAAAAAAAGAAGGGTCCAGAGAAAAACCCTCGAAGAAAACCAATAGCGAACTGGACCCAGGCGACTCGCGGTCAGCGCGAGAGCAACCCACCACTGCGTTATCTGTGTTCCCTCAATCGAGTCTCGCAAGTAGTCCGGGATTGCATTGGCTTGGCTTTCCTTTGCTCTGTTATTGGTTCAGAAAACTCGCGCCACTCTCTCGACCAATCAGATGCAAAACTAAAGCCAATCACGACTTGGTCGCCCGCGTTTCCCCGCGCTTTTACATTTTCACATTTTAGTTCTCGTTGGTTACAAAGTTGGTCACTTTTCTCGTAACTTCCCTACTAACATAGAGGCAAATTTTTTAAGTGTGCCCACTAAGAGGTAAGGTTCAACGCAACTGGAGCTCTTAAAGTTTATTTTCATTCACTTTATCAAAGGAAAAAGAAAACTTACACCGTTTTTGCCGGCATGTAAAGAAGAATGGGTACTACTGCTGAGGCATCATGGCCGTACACTATATAGCCCATCTTTTTCAGCTTTTGTCGGAAGTACCTGTCATGTAAACAGCACAAAGATTAAGTCAAGTCATGAAATAATGTTGGAGGTGACTACTCTCGCAGCGCGATGGTTTCTTAATCATCATTAGGGGATGTAAGTAGGGACGATTTAGAGAAATGGGGAAAATTTTATCCCGTGATTAGGCCCCCATCTGAAAAGTGCTCCATCAATTACTAGCAGACCCTCTCGTAAACCGCTGACCGGTCTCAAACTTTCTGCGGACGGCAAAACGCTCGTGCCGCAGCACTAATAATGAGGGGCATTGTTTTAGCATATGGAACCAGACGCGATAGATCCTTAAGATCTTTCGTAAGCGCCAACTGAGATGGCAAGGAAATATCGACTCCCAGCTGTGGCCTGCCTCACAAAATATTTGTGGTTCAGCTAAATAATTGGCTCAAGCCTTTGTAGGGAAAAAAAATTGGCTTAAGTCTTCATATAATTCCACATACTTGCAATTCTGTGCCAATCTGGTAAGCCTCTGCTTTCCTGAGAACATAGGAAAAACGTCAACTTGAGACGAGAAGTAACCCTCTCTAAACTTCAATGTACAGAAACAATCTAACAGAAGTTTTTATTCAAATGCAGATAAAATAATCAAGAAAACTCTAGCACAGACATAGGAATAGGGAAATTGATGCTTTGCGAAAAAAGAAAAGAAAGTGGCGTTACACTCTTTTCGAGATGTTTTGGCACAGAGACAAATGAAGAAACAAGATTGCATGGCTCTTAGGACAAACAATCTAGAGCAAACGGAAGAAAACAATATTCTACGCAAGTTGTAAAATCGGTTTCAGCTATTAAAGCTCTCGCCCTCGATTCGTGGATTCGCCAAGAGATACACGCCTCTCCTAAGAGACAGTATTTTGTCCACAAGAAACTGAAGTATATGAACTGTGCGCTCCTTTCTCGTTAGAGGAGAAGCATCCCTAAAACGAGGTTGTTGGTCGGTTGGCCATCGACCAATAGAATTTAAGGCTTAGCAGAGAACAGACCAACGTCGGGCATGCGCGAGGGGATCCATTCTGACCGGCCGCGCAC